CAGATTTTAGGCGAAAATCTTCGATTGTAGAAAAACACGGAAAATACAAAACACTTCTAGCTTTTATAACATTCACCTTTTGTAACATCTACCTTGTTTTTTTTTTTCATTTCATCACATATATAAAACCTATACTCCAACAATTTACCTAAGCAGGAGAACATCAAACTCAATGTTTGATTTGTAATTTTGTCATATTTTCTGGAGAACAACACATAATGGCATTTTTCTCTTTCTTCCATGAGATCCTTCCAAGTTTGGAATTCTGAAAGACAAAAATGTTACAGAAATTCCTTAGGGCAGTATAAGTCATTACTGATTGTGCCAAATACCTTGCCAGTTCGTCACTTCTGATTCTTCCAATTCGAAAGAGAGATCATGAGTTTTAATCAAATGTCCCATTAATGCCTTTTTTGTTTCGAATGTAAAATTGCATCCTGTCTCCAAACATACAATATTTTTCCACACACTATTGTCATACTGTGTGACTACCCTTGGTTCATTCTGAACTTCTTTGAAACATTCTCTGGAATTGTCCTCTGAAGAAAAACTATCACTAGCCATTTTTTGGCTTATATCAAAAAAAGGTAAAATATTTATCTCTATTTAGGTATTTTAGATTTAATTATTTCTATTTTCATTCCTAAAATCTTGAAAACCTACATTTACTAACGGAAAGACAACAATTTACTTTTTCCTAACCTTACTTGAGGATCTTGTAGTTCTTCTTCTCTCTCTCTCTATGCTTTTGCATCCATTCATTAAGCATTGAGCCTCAAGGACAACAAAAAATATCAAAATGACATTTTGTATGGAAATTTCATAAAATATTTTTTTGGATATTTTAACGATTTTTTTTTTCAAAATGCTTCTTAGAAGCAAAAATAATGCTTTATGTAGAAAATAATACATAGCGTCAACAGAAATCAAAGCGGTTTTCATAGGGAACCTTTGAGCCATAGAAAAGTGTTTACTCTTTATCTTCAAGGGTTTTCGTTTCGATGAAATGATCTTATGCAGTGAGATTTGACTCTGGTATAACCAACGAATGATTACATGAATGGTGTATGTGCAGTAAGAAAAGTCAGTATGGTTGACTGGAAGAACAGGATTTTTTCTTTTTTTTTAACATCTAATGACTCCTTTTTTCAACCTTCATATCATCGAAATTATAAAAATATCATTCTTTCCTCATACTTTATCACATAGTTGTGACTGAATTCTAAATACATTCAGAACTTCATCCACATTTATAGAATGAAATAATCTTTGTAGAAGTATTCACCCTACAAACATACGTTCCCAACACATAAAAACTCTAGATTTCATCACATGATCGCGACGAGTTTCCTGATAGTGAATAAATTTTTATTTATATCTACCAGAGTGTCTATAACAACATTTTTCTTGAACTTAAAAAATATGTTTAAAATCTATTTTTCCGTTAATCAGCTGTCGCCCCCATACGAACGACAACTCTCAGAAGTTGAGAAACTCGTGCGAGCTAAGGACTAACGAGGTCTTACCTTTTAACGTGTGATTCCTTACTTGAAATTCATGTTTATTCGAAACTATGTTATCTAAACAATCCGTATGAACTGATAACTGAAAAATCCCGACAATAAAAAAAATACAGAATTATCCGAACAAAATTCCGTTTCCCCTTTACAAAATCCCAAAATTATCACAATAAAAGTATGCAACACGTAAGACATTGTGACGTCTAATTTGACGTTTAAGTGTACGAATGACGTGATGCCAAAACGAGTATCTCTCTGTCCTATTTTAGTTGTTGGAGTCGGTGTTCTCTCTTCAATAGCTAGTCCATATTCAACCGTCAGTGAGTGACGTTTGAGCACAGTAGAAAAGAACGATTTGAGCACAGTATACAGAAATACTGTGATTTGAGGTTATAACCGTGTAAACAAATAAATATGTCTTTTACTTTATCAAGTAAATTATATCCGGCAAATCACAAAACTGTATTTGTACTAGATCATACACCCTACTTCGGAATATCATGTGAAAACCCTATAGAATTTGAATTTCTAAAAAGTCGTACTCCAGGTTTCATACCTATGAACCCCATTTCTAAGTCTCTGTGGACTTCTAGTGTTGAATCAGCTATAGAGTATTGTAGGATAGTGTGGGACTTGTTTCCTCAAGGAAAATTGGTATGTAACATCTCACAAAATTCCTATATTCCTATTAATAACAGCCTTTATTTTTTAGGTTAGATTTATAGCTAGTGATACTGTTGCTCATATTTTAAACACATGGAGCCCCCTACAACAAAATTTAACACATGTAAGTGATTGAATGAATTACTCGTGAGCTGTATTAACAACTAAAAAGTAGTTTGTTCTTATTATTTCTTGTCGCGTATTTACTTTTTAGCTCAACTGAAGTATTGGCTGATTCATACATTAAACTTTGCTTCTACTTTAAGAAAGTTTGTCACAATGTTAATCAATGGAAGCGTCCATACACCACACTTCTCACCTTGGAGTGTGGTGTATGACTGCTCCCATTGATTTACATTGTGACAATTTTTTGGTTTATTACGCAGCCTTACATGAAATACCCCAAAAATCACTGTTGATTTTCGATATCTCTCGAAATGAACAGTTAATCATTATTATGGATAGCAATAAAATAAACTCAGCAAATCAATTAGATGATTATCTCAAGATGCTACTTTTTTCTCTGAAAGAGATTATTGATAGTTTTTGGTACTTTTAACTTGAAATAGATTTCAGATTCAATTGTGATTCATTTCAGATCATGAACGGTATGTCTCTAATAGGTGTACCTCCCCCTCCTCCCCCACGATCAGTAAGTACGCCTATGGACCATACGGTATTGCACGGTTTACGTGCTGCTATTGAAGCATTAAGCGAACCCACTGACTTGCAACAGGAAAAGATCAGGAACTCCTTAGAAAATCATAAAATACTGAATAGAGCCAGAGTAATTTGTATCACTTCCGCCAGAGATAACGACAGCATGAAAAGATTGGAAGATATTTTTTTGACAGTTCTCAACCAACAAAATAAGGTGTCTTCTTCNTTTGTCGTACTTCCAAGAACTTCTCGAATTTCAAATGTATAAAGATGATGTAGTTCACCCTGATAAGATCAGTCTTAGATTATAGCAGTTCCATTTGGTCGCCCAATTATGAAAGTCATGCATTTAATAGTGCATAATTTTTGGCGTTCAAGTTAAAAATACCTTCGAAGGACCATTCATTACAAGATATTCGTGGGGCTGCAGATATTCTGAGGCTAAGTACTCATAGAGTGGAAACTGACTCAAAGTTCTTATTTCAATTATTAAATTCTCTTATTAACTGCCCCGCACTGCTAGCACGAATTAATTTACGTGTTCCTTCTAGACGTACAACGCATACAGAAAGATTTACTAAAGATTTTCATCGTTGTAACTATGCCAAACACTCTCCCCTGTCTAGAGTTGCTGTTGGAGATAACAGTAGTACTGCGCTTCTTCTCGTTAATAAAAACAAAATTTAAGTTTACATTACGCTCTCTCACAAATTGATTATGAATAAAAATAGAAAATAACTTCCTCAATTCTTGAATCTACATATCCTCATCGTTCATTCAATCTTTATTTCAATTCTCGCATATCAGTAAATTAATTTTGTCACTGTTATTATTTATCTATAAGCTAGTTTCACTTTCAGCAAGTAAGTTAGATATAATTATGTCTGTATTCATTAAATTTATTGTGAATATCTGTTGGACTCAATTGGGTATTATCTGTTAATGAATTGAAATTAAATTATTTGAATTGTTACGTTTGCAGACCACGCTGAAATGGTGTACCCCACGAGGAGTGACTGGTTCGGAACTTCAAAATTGCACTTGCATGCATCGAATAACGCCGGTCGATGTAAATTCCAGGCCTTCCCTGTGTCTGATTAATTTTCTTTTGAACGGTAGGTCAGTCATGTTGGAAATGCCCAGAAAAGCTGGTGGAAAAATTACCAGTCATCTATTAGCTGCTCACGGTGGCGAGATTTTCATTCACACTTTGTGTACAGCCAGGTAATACAAAAATTTCAATATCACATCTCAACGTCATGATATCCTATTTTTTGGTCTAAATTTTAACAGTCCTTGAGCACAAATGATCAAAAATATGATAAACTAAGTAGCTCCAATACACAATATACTAAGAATGAATGTTAATGTTTTGAATCAATGAATATTTATTGAATATGAAGCTTATCCTAATATTCATACAAATGAAAGTATATATTGGTCTATATTAACATATCTTATGTGGTGTAGATAATAGTATTGCTTTAGTTTCATGTATATCAAGTTTAAGTTTATTGTTATTCAGATAGGAATGTATTGTTATTGTTGCTAGTGAGTTGTTCATTTTGTTGATAGCACTATCCAAATTACTACTTGAAATGTCTAACATTGATTCATCAGCAAATAGGCTACTAAAATCACGATGGAAAAGATGTATGTGTTTACATACAACAAGAACAATAATGGTCTCAATACAGTACATTGTGGAACGCCATATGAATTTTCAATAGGTTGAGAAAAACTTTGATTTCAGTTATTTGTTTACGATTCCTGATATAATTTTTGAACAACTCAAGTACAGTTACTTGAATACCAGCAGCTTCAAGGTTTCTCATAAGAATTTCACGATTGATTGTCTCGAAAGCTCATTTCGAATCTAAGAATTCTGCAATACTTCGTCAATACTTTCTTTCCATTTAGTAATGCAATAATGATTCATATGAATGATGTTGTCAAAAGCCTGATTGATTTTCAAAGAAAAAATGTTCAATATTCAATTAGTGTAATAACTGCTGATATACAAATATACTACCAGTTCTAATATTTTTTCAAGCATAGGTAAAGTATTAATTGGTTGAGATTCCCAGGATTTCACCTTATTCGAAACCTTTTGGATAGGTACAACAGTACTAGTTTTTAGTTGATCAGGAAAAACTCCATTCTCCAATGATATATTCATAAAATTTAACAACACATGGCCAATGACCCCATTATTGCAATAACTGACCCCATTATTGTAATAACTGACCCCATTAATTGTAATCACTGACCCCATTGATGTAATTACTGACCCCATTATTGCTATAACTGTACTTGTTGTAATAACTGTACTAGTTTTCAGTTTATCAGGAAAAACTCCATACTCCAATGATATATTGATAAAATAACTTGTTGTAATAACTACTAGTTGTAATAACTGTACTTGTTTTCAGTTGATCCGGAAAAGCTCCAAACTCCAATGATATATTGATAAAATTCAACAACATCTGACCAATGACCCCATTATTGTAATAACTGACCCCGTTAATTATAATTACTGACCTCAGTATTGAAATAACTGACCCCATTATTGTAATAACTGCTGATATAATAATATACTACCAGTTCTAATAATTTTTCAAGCCTAGGTGAAGTATTAATTGGTTGATATTCCCAGGATTTCACCTTATTCGAAACGTTTTGAATAGGTACAACATTACTAGTTTTTAGTTAATCAGGAAAAACTCCATACTTCAATGATATATTGATAAAATTTAACAACACATTGTCAATGACCCCATTATTGCAATAACTGACCCCATTAATTGTAATTACTGACCCCATTGATGTAATTACTGACTCCATTATTGTTATAACTGTACTTGTTGTAATAACTGTACTAGTTTTTAGTTGATCAGGAAAAACTCCATACTCCAATGATATATTGTTAAAATAATTTGTTGTAATAACTACTAGTTGTAATAACTGTACTCCAATGATATATTGATAAAATTACTAGTTGTAATAACTGTACTAGTTTTCAGTTGATCAGGAAAAGCTCCAAACTCCAATGATATATTGATAAAATTTAACAACACATGACCAATGACCCCATTATTGTAATAACTGACCCCATTAATTGTAATTACTGACCTCAATATTGTAATAACTGACCCCATTATTGTAATTACCTCTGATATACTCCCAGTTCTAATATTTTTTCAAGCCTAGGTGAAGTATTAATTGTTTGATAATCCCAGGATTTCACCTTATTCGAAACCTTTTGGATAGGTACAACAGTACTAGTTTTTAGTTGATCAGGAAAAACTCCATACTTCAATGATATATTGATAAAATTTAACAGCACATGGTCACTGACCCCAAATGTACTGTTAAGTTTTTCCCCGTGGGTTGACCAATAATTGACTACACTGAACAATAATCAAACCTAACTTTATTCCACTTTAAATACAAGAAACACTTCAACTGAAACTTCAACTATTATTCGAATGTCTGGCCTTACTAGATCGCGTACCGCACTGTAACTTCCACTTGACTGTGTCGATACGCTCGTGGCTAGCGTTTATATATCGTAATCGAATGAGCTTGAAAATGTCGGTGGCATTAGTCTCGCTACATCTAGAGCGGCAGCGAACATCGTATATTCGCGCGCTGTTAGCGCGGCCGGCTACCAGTGGCGGCCAGCGTTATTTTCTTTAGGGCATGATTTACAACAGTACTTTTTGAAAACTTTGTATCTATATTACTAGATTAATTCTCCAAGTTATTAATGATCTTTGTGAGATCATCTAATTCTATTTTATGAAACTGTGGGAAGGTGCTTTCTAATGACACTAAGTCAAATTTTACATGAGTCTCACCAATGCTTTCAATCATGTTAGTTATGTGTCAAAGGGATTCCCTTTTTTTTTAAATGAATTAAACTTTTTGTTGCCTCACTTTTGAGAATAGTTCGGATTCAAAAGACTCAAGGCTGATATTCGTAGTTAGATTTTAATGTCGAACCTTAACCTCCAAAGGAGATCATCGTTGCCATTTCTCGTAGAACACTTTTAATCATCATTTATTTAGCATGAGTTTGTTTCTCATCGATATTAAAACCCCCCAAAAAATATTCATGAAAACTTTTTTTTATACTTACATTTCAGGTCTGTTCTTGAAGATCCCCCATCGATATCGGAAGGCTGTGGTGGTAGAGTAACCGATTATAGAATCCCCGATTTTGGTGCGTTCATAAAACAGAATACCTTACTTCCGATTAAAATAAAAACCAACGAGGATGCAGGTCAGCCCATTCAGAAAATGAAAACAAGAGTAAATAGACTGACACGATATTGGCCATTGACAATAAGCTCCACGTTGATTTTCAATTTGAAGAATGTGAGTACGACGATCACCTTTTAACTTTTTACAAGTAACAGTTGCATTACATTAAAGTTTTTTTTTCAAATTTAGTGCACATGATCTCAGAATTAGATCGTTTTGTGACTAGATAGTATTATGTGTATATAATATAGTATATAGTATAGTATATGGTATAGTATACAAGAGATTTTTGCAAAGGAGCCTTTAAAATCAACAAACTACTTACTGTAAGATATTGTCGTTGCTAACAGATTTCTGATATCTGTAAGAAAATTCTTATGTAATCTAGAGCCCTACAATACTGATGAATATTTTCTGGCATGTGAAAATTTATGAACCAAATTTTATTCGAAATTGCGATATGTATGCGGAATCTTCTCTAACCGTCGCGAATGATAAGGTGCATTGTCCATTACAATCAAAGCATTATCCTTCAGATGGGGTACAACTTTGGAAAACCATTGTTCGAAAGATTCACCGTTCATTTCTTTGTGATAATCTCCAGTTTTCTTCGACTCGAAACACCACAGCCCTTCAGCAACAAACCCATTCTCCCATTCACCGCCCATTCACTATTGTTATATAACTTATACAGCTCTGATATTTATCATCACCAACAGGGAATATCAACCACTTCAGGCATTAAGCATATATTTTCCAGTATGCAGATGACACCGCCCTAATTGCGCACGATCAAACGGTAAAGAACATCTTGCAACAATAACAAATAACTGTTTCAATAAATGGAGGCTCCAGCCAAACCCATCTAAGAATCAGTTCATCATATTTAATCATCGGAATTCCGCAATTTCTCCAACAATCAACGTTTTCCAACGTATCTTACATGCAAAATCGACAGTTAATTACCTAGCTGTTTCTCAATATCAAACAAAGGGCCTTGAAAACAATAAAAGTATCTGACACAACGGCTACAAGGAAAATAACAAGATTAAGGCATCCCAATAATCCCAAACACAACCCTCCAAACCCTCTACTGTACCAACTTACTGGTATTATCCCTATTGAGGAAAGACTACCGCCACTTACTCAGAAGTTTGGTAGAAAAGACGAAAATGTAGAAATCATAGGAAAGTATGCTGTGACAAGAAACTTTCTCAACATTTTCATCTGTCTTTGATGTGCTGTGGTGTCCAGGGCGAGCGTCGTCATGCATATTTTCTCGACCTTCTGTGAATCAAATCAAATCTTTATTTATCTTTATTGTCTGAAGAACATAATTCTCATTGACAAAGTCGTTTACAAAATAAAAGATTAAAACAACACAACAATCACCTTAGATATCTATCGATCAATCAATCAAAATATACTTTATTGTCGAAAAAACTCTTGTTTTGTTGACAAAGTAGAATATACACGTACAGAAATGAAATTTAGGCAAAATACATACAATTATGTAATATATAAATAAAATAAAAT